AATCCATTCCTTCGTCCGTCCGTCCGTCCTGCCGTCTGTCTGTAGTGTGTAATTAGACATTACCCTAAAGCAACCATTGTACGAAATGTATTGTTTCCCTCATATATCGATTACTATATTAAGTACCATTTTCATTAATAAGCCTTATATCATCCGGATAGTTAAAAAGTAATTAAAAATACACGTATATTAAAATGTATTCGACAAAGTCTTGGCTATAAAGAATAGGCCTACATATTTTTTATATTTATATATATTCTTGTGAATATTTTCACTTGCTTTATATTTGTGAAAAGGTACGATAGGGTTGAATGGAAAGTGAAAATAAAATTAATAAATAAATAAAGAGAGAACGGAAGATGAAAGTAAAAAAATAAATGAAATTCGCAGGAAATCGGGGAAAGACAGAGACTAATGAAGAAAAGATAGAAGAACATAACATCGAAAGAACAAGAGAAGAAGAAAGAATAATGAAGAAAAGTAATTCAAGTTTATCTAACACGTTCAAAGCCGGCTACGCCATATTGAATTCTGACACGCTACGTAAATGAATGGTGGTAAACCCACTTACCTCGTCCAGGGGACAACCTGAGGACAACAGGAGGCCATGGGACTGCGCAAGGAGGAGGCGTAGTAATTTGTCCTTAATATCAGACAGGATGCTTGGCCGCGCCCTGAAATTAATACATCACGTAAGACACGGCCCTAAACCTTTCCCTTGTTTCATACGAAATCAGATTCAGTTTCTAACAGCATTTCATCCCGATGCGCATTTAAGAACTGAAGAAGAGAAAGCTGTTCTAGAAATGGCATGTCCTCAAGCTCTTGTGACTATTTCGCTTTGGAGTGCATGGCGTTCTAAAATCCCGAGCTACTAATTATTATTTATTTAACAATCCCATTTCAACTGAAGAGATTATAAAGCGTCAAATGGTTAAAAAGACAACAGTTCTTAATGGATTATATGCAGATATTGACTTGGAACAATGCGAGAGTGATCCTGTTTCAAGAAATTATCCCGTTATTGAGTATCTGATAACCTAATGGAGATTCAAACCAACTACCTCCCAAACAGACGTCCAAATCTTTTCTTGACACGATATATAGGAGTTAGGATTTACTGAATCTATTTTATAATTAATAATATCCCTCAAACGGCAGATCGGCATTTCGTAATATATTTACATTTACTCATTGGAAATTATAGAAAGAAGTAAACAGTCCAGCGGTATTGTATAGTGATTGACCATTGGAATATGCTATGGCAGGTAGCACAAATACTAAACTACCTAATCGATTAGGAATGTTGAACTCACCTATAGAGCTGTATCCGGAGTGTTGCTACAGTCGTCAGCTCTCCCAAGATATCTCCCACAGTAACGGTCGGGCCCTCCGCTATCTTTTCGAAACTCAGTGGCTTCCAGTTTTTGATCACAACTGAACCTTACAGACCAAAGCACAGTTCAATATTATAAATTATTCAGATAATATACTGGTGATAAATTTTGAATTCTTCGTCAAAACTATATTTTACAGATAAGACTACAGTTAAATGTTACACAGACTTCGAGAATCAGACTTAAAATTTGTTGAATTCCTGATCGAAACTTAGCACAGCTCCATATTATAACTACTTAAATTAGCAGACTAGGTTGTTGGGAATAAACTAGATTCAATTGGCTCATTACAAGGTCCAGTGGTTGGTTCTTGTCGACGGTATAAACCTTCGTGTTCTACAAAATAAGTGGCATTTCTTGACAAGCTGAACTTTCACAGAAGACTGCTCGCTGGAGCTATTCTATATTATTAAATTAAATAACAGGTCTGGCTGACCTACTGTATTCTGCAGTGCGATATATGGAGATATGCAGAGGTAATCACAGGCCTACAAACGCATAGGTTGATGCTATGGGAACTAAACAGCTGAAGAGACAACCTGCTGTTAACACTCACTTTGAACCGAGCATACGAACCGCTATGGATATGCAGTCATTATGAATGCACCCTGGCACGACTACAGACTATAAACGTCACTGTCATAATAGAGTCTGGAACGTATTCAGAAGGGTTCTAGATCGAATCCCCGGTACGAGTCTCTTGCTTGTGACTTCTCAGGACATGAGTCTAGTATAAGATTTTTCAAATCTTGTTAGAGGCTTTCAAAAACTTTTTCTCACCACAAGGTATCACCAGCCTTGTGACAAACAGATACTGCGGGTTGCTTTCTACATGGTAAATATGGCCGAAGTGCGAAAATGATGACTTACGTCTCATATATCTTGTACCTATATACAGGCTGTCCAATTGGCGGGCTTCTGGCCATATTCGGTCGAGACCACTAGCAATGACGTCCAGTACAATGAATAATTAATGATTAAATGGTACAAATATTACTAAAATATAATGACAGTTGAGAGACTATATTTCTTGTGAATGCGTACTACATTCACCTGTGTGTGACGGCTACCAAGGAATTGGGTGGCGGCTTTCAGAATCCGGAAAGACGAAAAATCTTCTTCATGTTTACATCGGGATTAAAAATTAAAATTAAATTAACTATAGTTGAGCAGTGTGAGTGCACATCAGCTCAGGAGCAAAAGTAAAGTATTTAAATAAGTGTCACCAAATATTTTCTCCCACTGACCTTTCGCCGCCGAAGCACTGTCCCTGGGGTATCCCAGTCTATGCAACGCGACCTGCACGAGGTCCTGGAACGCCGTGTTGACGGGTATGATGACGTAGCTGTCCGTCTCGACGACTGGCTTCCGTCTCCACATTAGTCGCGAGTCTTCCAGTGCAGACACGGCCTCCACGACGCAATGCACTGGGAGAGACTTGCCTGCAACAAAGGACCAAAGCTCTACTTAGCCAGTGAACTGTAACATCTATGCTGACCAGGGATCAGCTGGCCAAGAAATTCCTTGCTTTAGTCTTGATCGTGTTAACAAAATTTCTCCGTCCGACGCCATTAAGAGTCAACTGAATCAGTCCAAACACTCAAACTGTGTTTCAGTAAGATTAATTTTTATATTATCCTCTAATATACGTCCGCCTCTCTCAAGTGAGGCTAACCAACCAGATAGTGTATTAATTCTCATCTACTCCACGCGTTCTGCGTGCCCATCCCATCCCATCCCGCCCTCCCTCATTTGGTAATTTTGATTATATCTGATTGAGATTAAAAATTATGATTTGGTTCATTAACCATTTTTTCCCCAGCTTTTTTTTTTGATTTTTGTTACCACCAACACCTTGTTCTTTGACATTCTTAAATATCGCACATTGTTTCAAATAAAACGAGATCTATATTTCATGTCACGTAAAAATTTGTTCCACAATGAAATGTTTATCTGATCACCGTACAACATTATTAAAATCGTGCAATATCATATTTAATACAAATCTGTTTAGTAGTTTCCAACAAAACTTGAGGGAATATATGCGGACAGTCAAACGCACCTTACAGTGCGCCATTTTTTTTTTGCGCAAATAATGCGCAAAAGTAAGCCTATTTATTTTATCACCTAACCTCGGGAGGAAATGACTTGGAATTCTGCTTCAGAAGAACCGTGGCATGGCTCAGTTTCTGCTGGATTTCCTTCACGTTCGCGTGTGTATACTTGGCTTAATACCGGAGCGAGGAGTGGCTTACGGTAGCTTATTTGTAAGGTAATCTTGTTAAGCTAAGAAGAAGATGCAGTCGGAACAATGTAATACTATGTCCGAAGTTTCAACCTGACAGGAAAAAAAAAGTAGCTGACCTTTATCACCTATTTATCCTCTTTTATCCTTCCCTGACCCAAAAGACGGAAACTCCAACAAAACTGGGGAGAGAATAAATCCCTTAGCACGTACGGAAACAACTTACACAATAAAGAAACCTTTCTGGATGCTTGGACATTCGGATATTACGTAACGAGTAACTCAGTGGTCTATTCAGATTAACTCATACATTTAGGGCATTGAAATAAAGAGGTTACTGTTTACTGGTTAAAATGACTGTACACAGAATTTTGGTGGGGATGTATTTCTATGAAAGGGACATTTAGAATAACACCAAGAAAGTTACAGGGTGGTTCACTGGGAGAATATATGGAGGAGAGAATGAGCGAAATGAAGAAAGTGATGAATGAATATACTAAATGGTTCATGGGTAATTTATTAAGAACTGATAGAATAGTGTACTTCTATCAATGAATAATAAATACGGAATAATGTAAAGAATTGATGGATAAAGGAGTAAGATAATAATTTCGATTGTGGGCTTTGGAGCTATGACGTCGTGTAAACTTGTGGATGGTTGCTGACTTCTCGGAGAAACGCACTGTCTTCATTTACATGAATGAGATACAACATGTCAGAACGCAGGAAAACACATTCGACATTTTCACCGTAGTGAGAACTTCAAATATCATGAAATAATAACCTAATTGGATTCTTGATTAAATAAGCAAATAAATATTCCCAAATAAGTTTATAAATCTATGAATAAGTAAACGAATAACACGTGTAAATTATCCAGTTTTATGCAAAGTTTTCAGGAGTGTAAATTTCATTGCAGCACTATATCTTGTAGTTTGAATTTAAAATGCGATTAGTTGCCACACCATGAGAGTATGACCATTTTCCGTTATGGCTGTCCACTCAGTAGACACGCGTTTGTGACTGCGTTTGTATCAAGAGCGTTGCTGGACGTGAGAAACGCAAAACACTGTCTATTACATATTGAAATTAATAATTTGATGAAACGGCAGAGCGCAGTAGATTAGACTGAAATGGCACATGCTAACTGGTAACACTTCGTTGCTTCAATGTAGCTAGTGTTTGATTGATATAGGCTAATGTTTCATGAACTGCTAGATGGTCACGGGTATTAATCCCTAAATCCAGCTCCAATGTAGCATTATATATTATATATACGGATTTTACATAAATAGTAACTATTCGACAAGAACGGAGTTAGGCCAGCTTTTATAACTGTCAGCCGAAAACAGATTTAATAGAAAGCAATAACTCCGTACATTACAGGCGTGGACCCGACACACAGTACACAAATTCTGTGTTCTTGTTGTTTTATATTTAATTCCCCTTCACTTAATTTTTTTTAATTTTTCTTTCTCCATCTTTGTTTTCTACTCCTTCTTTCCCTTATTATTATTATTATTATTATTATTTTTTAATGTCCTATCAGCCAACTGTTGGATCCAACTCTGTGGAGCAGTGCATTTTTTAAGACTAGTAAAAAAATTCCTCGACTTTTTTCAAGTCCGAAGTCCTAAGTAAAATCTTGTAATATGCTGTTTTCTTCTTACGGCGGGGAATTCATAACTAAAGGCCCGGCCCCCAAGCTCGAGAATCACCTCTTGTCGGCTGTCTACGTCTACTTATTCAGTATCTGGAAGTATAATTTTCCATTCGAAACGCGCTACGTAGTAGTGAAAAGGGGCAAAAATTTTACAGCCTCTACTAAAGAATAGCTCAACCAATAGTGTTAAACGACTAGAAGTTGGGCGATCATTATTCGATTCCAGACAGAACATTTCCTCTACGCCACAGGGTCAAGATCAGCTCTCTTATCCAATGTGTACCGTGACTCTTTTCTCGATGGTAAATTGACTGAGCCTTGAAGGTGACAACTCACCTCCAACTAGTGAGCGAACTAGGAATGGTTGGAGTTACACCTTTATTCCTCCGTATGGCCTACATATTCACAGTGTGGTGCTTAAATTAAGAACACGCGAACTTGAATTTTACTTTGAAATTAGTAGCATGGACTTAACATACACTGTAGATATATAAAAGAGATATTAATAACATTTTCAATAATAAATTCTGACGGAACATTCTAAACTTTGGTGTTCTCAATATGTTAAGAGAGTACTTAAATAGGAATCTGGAGTGCATGTTACTTTATTATTTCATTCTAAATTGTAATTATTCTAAATAAAATTAAATATGCTAATAGCGACTTCCAAAAAGTAAATTTCCGACTAGTAGGCCTTTTTTACTTTCAGACATTAACATTTTCTCTCGACTAAAACACTGATAAATGACCTATTCATTCGTAATAGCTGCGGGTTTGATTAAATTGTTTCGCTGGCCACATATTAACCTCTGTTCTAGGGGTAAAATATGACTTTCCGAGGTATACACTGCGAAATAATAAAGGTGCAGTTTATGTGTGCTTGTGGATAATACGAATCCTGCACCTTTATTCGTACTCCACGTTAAACTGTGGATTTTCCACGAAATGATATTCTTTGCTGTCATGGAGGGAGTCAAATAAAGATTTCGTTATTGATGTTCCATTCAGCTTTATTCGCTCGTACGTGGACAAATTAACCGCATCTTAAAGATGGAGGGAGAAAAGAGTGAATTGATCCTGACGTCATAAACGGAACCGAGAAGAGAATGAAGGTGAAAACAAAACGAAACGAGCGAAGGAGGATAAAGAAGAAAGCGGGAAAGAACAACGAAAAGTAAGGAGTTAGAAACTTCGGAGTCAATAAAGAACAGACTCTAGAAAAACAAAATCAAAAAGCCATATAACCAAAGAATAAAAGAAAAAATATATAAACAAATCTCTAAATACAGAGGAAAACCGTAAAATGTGGAAAGAAGTTAGTATAAAAGCGGAAAAGAAAGAGACCTCAAAAAGACAAACTAGAATGAGACGTAGAAGAGCGGATAACGTAGAGATGGTAAAAACAAGAAAATTAGGGGACAGGAAATTTGAAACCGAAACACAAATGTCCGCAAAAGTAAGTAAAAGTAAGATTGTCGTAATAAAAGAAATATGAGGAAATGAAGAGAACACAGAAAATGGGAAAACAATGAATAGAAAAATTAATTCACGTGGAAAGAGAAAAAACAGGCAAGAAAAAGAGGTGTAAGTGCGAAAAATATGAAGGAGAAAATATAAGGAAGAAGAAGGAACACAAATCACTCGGAAACGAATAAGAACATTGAAATCTAGAAGCAGAAAACAAATTTTTAAAAGAGATGTATAAACTTTAAAGAAGATACGGAATTGAAAAACAACAGCGATTAATCGGTACAAATAAAAGTCGGAAATTGATAAATAAGAGAATAGAATAATAAAGTATACAGGAAACAATGAAATCAAAGACGTAACTTACACAAAAACAAAATTATTAAAATACAACCAAAAGAGACAACAAAAGTAAAGGCTGGAATGTAAATTAGTAGCTTGCGAGTCTGGTTAGCACGTAGGAACGAAATCTGCCAGATCAAGCGTAACTTCTCAGCAAAGTTTGGGGCAGCTATGCTGCTTTATGTAACAGGAAACCCACTAAGGGGTTAATCCGGGATCAGCAGCACCTTCTGAGAACCGCGCTCCACCTCTCACCACGCCTTACGATAATACCATGGCTCGTGTACACATTATCAAAATACCAAGTTATGTGAGCTCACTGCACACAGCAAGGTAGCGTCTACGATGGGGTGTTCCCGCGCAAAAGAACGAAAGAATACTGCTACCCGAGGTAGAATGTGTCATTAGCGACAGACGTTTCTTTCGTTACGCCCAGGCCTACTTGTGACAACCAAGGACACCGGTTTTCCCCTTGGTGTAAAGCGGTCAGAACAGAAGCTGACTGCTCACAGCCGTGTGAAGCCAATTTTACTTCATCTTCAGTCCGTAGTACACGGTCATGGCGAGATGATTTCTATATTGTAAATCTATGCCATCTTCAGCTACTAAACTTCACTCATTCTTTCTACGTTTAATCATAAGCTCTTCAAGAACATAATCGAGTTAATCACATGACCTACTTATGTATTTTCTTCTTAAAATGGCTGTCTTCTGGGTTATAGCGC